TTTTTAGCCTCCAAAGCACTAGGATTGCAGGCACACACCACCATGCCCAGTCTATGTTAGGTATATTTTTTAAACAATTGTTTTCTGCATTGGCGGGCCTGCCACATAGCTCAGCGGGTTAAAGCGCCTGCAAGCAGTTACAAGGGCCAGAGGTTCAATTCCCCAGGACTACCATGCTGGCCCCACCCCTGGGGCACACTGAGACAACTGAGACTGGGTGTGGTGGTGCACGCCTGTAATCCCAGGTCTTGGGAGGCTGTAAACAGGCCCATCATTAGATCACTAAGAGTCTGATCTATGGGGCCAGGGAGATGGCTCAGTGGAATAAGCGCTTCCCTGGCAAGCGCAAGGACCTGAGTTCAAGCCCTGGTTCTGCCAAAAAAAAAAAACAAAACACAAAAAAAACCACAAAAAAAATAAGAGTCTGATCTAGCAATGAGACCCTGCACACCCTGTAGACAGTTCCCTACAATACAAAAAACAAAAAAGAACATAGGAAAAACAGACAGGGCTAGAGGTATATAGTTCAGTGAAAGAAAGAGCTCTTCTCTAGCATATACAAGGCCCTGTGATTCCTCATCATCTAAAAAACCAAAAATCAAAACCAGCAACGATGAAAGAGAAACAGATTTCTCTTTAAGGCAGTGTCTACGTAGTGCAGGGTGACTTTGAACTCACAGGGATCCTCCTGGCTCAGCCTTCTAAATGTTGGGATTATAGGTGTGTGCCACCACACCTAGTCACAGAAAGATATTTTGGAAAGAGTAAAAGGTCAACACCGCTGAGCACAGTGATGCACACCTGTAGTGCCAGCACTCAGGAGGCTGAGGCAAAGGATCACTTTGGGTTCAAAACCAGCCTGAACTACACAGGGAGACCATGTTGTTTCTCTCCTCTTTTCCAGGCAGCACTCTACTTCAGCTGTTCTTTTTTTTTTGTACAGGGTCCCACTATGCAGCTTGGACTCATAGTGATCCTATTTTCATTCTCCCCAGCACTGGAATTACAGGCATGCGCTACCACGCCCAGTCTCCATAGCCAGCTCAGCATGCCTGGGGCAGGGTCAGTTTGGGCATATGGTGCTGGGGATCGAACCCTGGTCTCTGTGCTTGCCTAAGGTATCTCGCTAGACCTTCAGATGTTCTTTAATCACCATGCCTCCAGGCCTACCACACAAAATGCAGTCTTAGGTGATCAGTGCATCTCTAGGGAAGAAGAGGAAAGGAGGGGAAGACACTAAGAAAAAGCACCAGGTATGAGAAGAACTAGTGCTCACTGCCAGGATCCTCCATCTACTCTTCCATCTCCCACCTGCCGTGGGAGGACACAGTCAATTCCAACAGTCAGGGCTGAGGCCACAGAGCTTGCTAACCCTTTTGAGAAGGAAAGGATCTCAGTTACTCCCAGCCATCAGCTTGTTTAGCAGCAAAGCACTCACAGCTGCTGCTCAAGCTGGCCTTCCTGGTGGGGGCAAAGGTTTCCCGGCAGTAGGAAAGCACAATACCAAGCAAAAGCCTAGGCTCCTTCATTTTCTGAATCTCAATGCAAAGAATGAAGTAATACCTAATTTCAGTTCAAACTTGTTTCCCATTTATTAA